CCCCCCGCCTTCCCTCTGGCAGTCGTCAGTCTGTTCCATGCTCCTACAAGTTATATTTTTAAAGATGCCACTCATAGTCCTGACATAATCCTATTAACTATTTTTTGGTTCTCATGGCAACCTGATAAGAATCTATCTGTGCCAGGGACAGATTGGCTGAGCTGGAGAAAATATAGGGAAATGCTTAAACACGTCGCTTCCCGGGGTCAGGCCGGCCCGCACGGCTCTGACACGCACGCCCCGTCCACGGCGCGCTCTCCCCGGGCACCCCGGCGGGCTGCGGCCTCCCCCGGCCTTCGCTTCGCTGAGATTTCTCTTCTGTAAGAAGAGCATGCGGCTTTTTGATAGAAAGCTATTTGCAAAGGAACAGGATGTTTTTTCTGCAGCCGTGATGTGTGTGGCATCAAAGTTATTGACTGAGCTGGAAAATAGCTTAATGATGTCTTCGGGGCTTCTGCTTCCCTGGCAGCCTGAGCCTTGAGACGTGTGTGATTGGGACTCAGTATGACAACCTTGACGCCCCTCTGCGGGGACTTGGGTTTGATACAGGCTGGAAGAGCTTGACAAAGAGCCGCTTCTCCCTTGGGCAGAGTGACTGCCCCGGGAACACCCGCCCTGTGAATCCGCGAGTGGAGCTCTGGGCAGCCTCACTCACGGAAGGGAAGGCTTTCATCACTCCTGTCCCTCCTGTCACCACCTGGACGGCCTAGCTGTCCAACCCAGAACCAGAGAGGAGGTATTTCTCCTAAACGCCACTCTCCTGAACTGACTGGCATAGGGTTAAATTTGAAAACTACTTGATAATGAATCTCACAGACCTTGGGTTTTGCTTACAAGTGGAATCAAAGCATCACCCCACCTCTGCATCTGTTCCGCAGACAGACTTGGTTGAAAATTGTTTGTTTGTTTGTTTGTGTCACACCTTTTGAATTCTGTCTCGGGGACATCTGTGGGAGTTACTACTCTCCCAAGGACAAGGTCATTGTCAGTCAGGGTCTTTGGCTACAAGTCCTAGTAACCAACCTGCTGTCACTTAAGGAAAAGCACACTCTGGAGGTCGTGGGAATCTCACAGACCAAAGGAGCCGTCGATGACCCAGGCGGCTGAGGGCAGCAGCCAGCGTAGTCCTGGGCGGCCCGCAGCAGGAGCTGTCTGTGGTCAGGGATGCACCCTCCGATCACTTTTAATTTTTTTGTCACTCTGCCAAAGATTCAAATTCCTGGGAAACAGAACGCGGTCTCTTGGTTAGGGAAAAACAGGACACATGCCCAACAGGCTTGTCAGATCACCTCCCGTGGGGGAGAGGAGTTTCTTTTTTTAAAAAAGAAATATGTCTTTATTGGTTTCAGAGAGAGGAAGGGAGAGAGAGAGAGAAACATCAATGATGGGAGAGTCATTGATCAGCTGCCTCCTGCCGGCCCCCGGCTGGAGGTCGATCGAGCCCGCAACCCGGGCATGTGCCCTGGCTGGGAATCGAACCAGGATCTCCTGGATCCTAAGTCGAAGCTCACCCGCTGAGCCATGCCAGCCGGGCTCTTTCTCCAGCTTGATTGAGACCAGGATTCGTGAGCAGTCGCAGGAGAGGGAGATGCAGACGACAGCGAGCTGTGCACTCGGGTGAAACCGGAGTGTGGAAACTAGAGAGCTGGAGAACGGCACCTCTGGCTGGGGGAAAAAGCTGGGGGAGGGATGACACTGTCAGATCATGCTCATATATTCACTGTTGCCACATCCCACCCCCCACCCCCCCAACCCCTTTATCATTGAATGAGATTTAGGGAAAGGAGACATCCAACATTTCCAAGTACCCAGCCTGGAAGCCATCAGTCATTCTGTGTGCAATGGGAAATACAACAGGGCCCCCTTCTCCACGGGGGACATGTTCCAAGACCCCCAGTGGATGCCTGAAACTACGGATAGTACCAAATCCTGTATACACTGTGTTTTTCCTTTCCACTCTCTTTGGCATATCCAAATTGCCAACGTTCCTACAATTGCAATTTGGGGCCATTGTTAAGTAAAGTAAGGGTTAGCTGAACACACGCTCGGTGATGCCACGGCAGTCGATCTGATCGCTGAGACAGCTACTATGTGGCTAATCGGCAGGTGGTGTACACAGTGTGGATACACCGGACAGAGGATTATTCGGGTCCTGGCAGGACAAAGTGGGATGGCACAAGATTTCATCACGCTACTCAGAATCGCACAGAATTTAAAACTCATGAATTGTTTATTTCTGGAATTTTTCATTTAATATTTCTATACTGCAGTTGATTGGGGGTAACTGAAACCATGGAAAGTGGAACCATGGATGAGGGGGGACTACTGTGTTAATAAACTACCGAGAGTGACAATAAATACACAAATGCATGACATGCAATATGCTAAGAGGTTATGTCCTAACGTCTTTGTCACTCTTATTCTCAAATTTCAAGTTTTGCCTCAGACAAGGGAAAGAAATTCAAGGTATAGTTTTTCCTTGATCAATATCAAATTCAATTTGGTAACTATCAATTAGCGATTGCCTCTGTGGAGGAAGGAACAGAGATGGTATCTGGGGAGAGGTACCGAGCAAGTGTTACAGGCATCTGTGAAAAGGCAAAATTCTGTGGAGCTGGGCATTGGGTCAGTGTGTCCATCAGAGTCATCAGTGTTGGAAATGTTTTATGATTAATACTTTGTTCTTTAAACCCATAAATACTAACTTAAAAATTTAAATGTGAGAGGCAGTGCCTTCCCCCCACCCACTCCATCCTCACTAATCACCATAAAGAGTGAGTTATTGGGTTTTTGTCTCAGAAAATGTAATTACGTTGTAATGAAATGTTAATGCTCTGCTCTATTCTTAAAGTCACTTGTTCCGGCGATGAGGCTGTGTCCTAACAGAGCTGCTAAATTTTCTTCCAGGTCATTCTTTTAATATTTTATATTCGTCAGATGAGCCGGTGATGACCTGGGGCTCCTTTGTTTTTTTTGCACACAGGACTATCTCTGCAAAAACTCACCATCAGGCTGTCAACTTCAACATCTTCGAGGGCATGGTCTGCCACGGGGTGCCCGTCGCAACCATTTCCAGGGGCAAGGTGGTATATGAAGCTGGAGTTTTCAATGTCGCGGCAGGCGACGGCAGGTATATTCCTCGCAAGCCGTTTGCTGACTATATTTATAAAAGGATCAAGCAGCGGGACCAGGTGAGTTGTGCCTACGTGACTGTTCCCCTGGGCGGGACTGTCACCCTCCCGGATGTTGTGGGTGCTATTGTCAGACACACTCAATTTAATACATTCCTGGATGTCAGAATTGACGTGAAAGCTTCCAAATGAATATCAGTGTTGGATGGTTGTGTTTTCCCTTATAGATAATGTCTATCCAGGGTCTCCTGATGGACCAAGTCGGGTTTTCCCAGGCTAGATCAGGATCTCTGGGGACTTTTGGCAATTAGGTTAGTCGGGGTACTCTCAGAAGCAGACGCCCACATGAGTAAAGGGGTGACATTTTTCCATTAGGGAAGACACGTGTGTGGGAAAATGGGAGGGAGGGAAGGAGGGAAGCCTGGGAGAGGCCTCAGACTGCAGTCCAGGTCTGACTCCAGTGGAAGACAGAAGGTCCTTAACTCCAGAACCCCACCCCCAGCTGCCTGCTGGCTTCCGTTCCCAACCTGCCCAAACAGGATTCTTGATTCTCAGGGTCTACCACCACCCACCCACCCGCTCAAGTTTGCTTCTCCCTTAAGGAAAAAAATCTAAATCAAACTTTATTTGATAAAGATAACATAATGAAACACATATTTCAATTCTATGTAAAGAGCCCCTTAACGAAGAGTTTAGGGGATGCAGGAAGGAAAAATAAAAGAAGAAAAAATAAATAACTTGGATAGTCAAGAGCATCTTAAAAGAACAAAACCAGCTTACGTGCCATTAATTCTTTACCAAAAATATAGCTCTTTAAACTCAATGGATTATTATTTATAGGATTTTTGTGTGTTTAGCGTTTGTAGCTTACACAAAAATTTGGAAGTACATTCTTTAAGTCATCTCTTTTTCTCTGTTTTCACTTAATAAGCAACCTAACCCATTCTGGAAAATAAGGGTCACATTGCATTTTATAGAGAAACAGGAATAACTTCATAGAGAAATGCGTGGTTTTGGAATGCTGATGCCAGAGCTTTTAAACTGAGTTGTATCTTTGCCTTTTAGATAAGATAAAATTGAGTGGTTGGCTGATCTGGCCCTTGAAATGGGCATTCTCCATTTCTGAAATAACAGTTTGTTAATGTCTATCTCAATCTGGTAGCTCAGAGAAAATAATGTTTTTAATAGCCATATAACCCCATTTTTTCTTCAAACTGCTTGCTAATAATTATTAAAGGCGATACCCACGTTGGGGCCAGCTCATTTTGGCTCATGAGAGATACCTGTGGGTATCTCGTCCCAACTCCTCGTTCAGTGACGTCACTTTGGTAGATTGAAACCAGATGCAGTGGAAGTATTTACACCACAGAAATAGGCAGGTGCTTTAAATCAGAGCTTATAGAGTGGTGAAAAAGGGAAAGGGAGAGCTGGTTGTCAACATTTACAGGCACTCCACCACAGACAGGGACTTTCTAAATTCTCTCCTTTTGTGTTTTATCTAGCCATTTAACATTCCTTCAGTAAATATTTATTAATGAACAATTATGTGCCAGGCAGAGTTTAATCTTTATAATGACCCTCCGAAGTAAGTAGTGGTATCCCTATTTTCTGGACTAAGAAATTGAGGCTTAGGGAGGTCACCTAGTCCCTAAGTGGCAGCATCAGAAATCAAATCCAGATTTTTGTACCTCCAAAGCCAATCCTTTCTACCTCTACCACTGCAGTATACTAATCACCAGGTTAAATTCCTACTCAGACAGCCACCCACCCCCATCCTCAGAATATCACCCCTCCCGGCTCCCCTCCCACACTTAGGGTTCAGTTACCCTCAGACTGGCAGACTTACCAAAGGAGCCAGTCCTGAAATGAGGGGCCCCAGCTCTGTCACACTGTCTGTTAGAAATAGCTCACAGGGTATTTCGAGGTTTAAACGACAACATTTGATGGATTGTAAAACATTAGCAAAATGCAAATCTTCGCTGTTAGAGATCACCTCTATTAAACCCACGGCTACTCATGTTCCAGTGACTCACTGTCCCCGCAGAGGTCAGTTAAAGGGCACTAGATGCCTTTCAGTTCTCCAGGCAGGTGTGGATTTTATTCTCAGGGAGTCACTGTTCAATTGCTTTGTTTAGTGTTGCGCCAGGGTCTGCTGTTTGGTGTTTGGAAGTTCTACTGTCTTTACCGATATTTTAGTATCTTAGCTTCTGTGGGCAGCCTGCAGCTGGGTTAAGGGAAGGATCTTCCGAGGGACCCGCAGCATCTCCAGCAAGCCCACCTCCTGAATGAGGAGGGTGGGACCCCGGCCTGATGGTCCTGCCTAAATCATCGGTGTTGGCCATCAGTTCCCAAGGATACCCAAGGCAAGACAAAAACATGACAGCTGAAAATCACGAGCTGCAAAGTTTCAAGGGAACTTTTGGGGCCAAAGGGAGATGAAGTGGGAGCCGATGAGGGACACGCAGCACGAAGGCTAGTGTCACAGAGATCTGTCACGTCACTTTCTCCAGTTAGAAAGTGGCTGTGGGAAATGCTGTGGGTTGAACTGAAATATGCCGTTGGGTTTGCTGAGCACAGATGCCAAAAGGAAAAGAGAAAAAGGCAAGACCCTTCGGTTGCAGGCAAGAGAGGGGTTGAAGGAAGGGGGAAATGAGTCCTGGTTGGCTTGGCCAGCCCTGGGTTACGCCTGTCAACTGCATTCAGGGCCCTTTACACTCTTACACGTGTCCCAGTTTGGATGATGAATTATAGGGTCCCGCTAGGTTTAAAGATACATCATGCAGTCTGGCTTGAAAAGTAAACCAGGAGAGGAAAGAACACAGAGACCAAAGACCTGAAAGGGAGCATCCGTGGTCAGAGAGCGGGGTACTGAATGAGTGTCTAGTTTCAGGGCAGATCGGCTCCGGGTAACCACACTGTCCAGGGGCAGGGAGCAGAAATGGAAGGCTGGCCTTCACTTCCCCTCGTCAATATTCTTCAAGACGATGACAGGGTCTAGGGTGAAGGAAAGGGCTGTGGGTAGTGAGCCAAATGGAAGTCCCACAAAGTTCCTAACCAGGCGCAGAAAGTGGACAGAGGCCCCGAGTGGTGAGCGGAGGGCAGGGGTCCTCCCACTGACTGAGTACTCGGGGTGCGCCCAGCACTGTGCTTCGAGTTTCACAGCTCTAGACACAGCCTCTGTCCTTGGCTTTGCTTCACCCTCTGTGCCTAGGGCTGTGTGCTCAGTAAACATCTACTGAATGAGTGGAGGAAGTGCTTCGGGGCTGAGAAACCCCCTGCGTCTCATAGATGAGTGAGTGGGCTCCGAGGGTCTCAGCTGCCAGTTTCCTACAGCCAGCAAGTGGCAAGGCCAGGACTCAAACGCAGGTCTGTCTTGGTCCGAAGCTCACATTTTTGATTCCCTACAATATATTAGTTTGGGTGGTCAAAATAAGACCTACACTAATTTGTTGTGATTTGTCTGTGGGTGTGTAACACATACACACATGGATTTAGTTGTAAAGAGCCTGTTATATGGTAGGCATTATTCTAACGGCTTGATTTACATTCAGTACTTTCAACATTTAATCCTCACGACCACCCTATAAAGTAGATGCTGTTACTATCCCGTTTACATCAAAGGGCACTGAAGCCTTGCTGAGTCATGTGCCCAGCCCTCGGGTTCCAGGGGCCATACCCTTGATCGCTACCTTCTTGACTTGTCAGTGACTTTGAGTGCCTGTTTACAAACAGTACGGCTCAGCTGCTTCTCATGAATCCCTTTGCTTACAAAGTCCAGATTTCAGCTCTCTTCAGCTCTCTTAATTCTAGCTGGTCCAGCCCAGGGGTCTGCTGCCCGGTCGGTCACCAGAGATGTGAGGTTCTGTAGAAGGCCTGTTACACACAATGGCAATCGGGAAAGTGAGGAAAAAAACCCACAAAAATTGCTAGAATCTGAACTGAAATGACGAGAGTCTTAGGAGAGGTAAACAAAGCACGTCGAAATACTGATGCCTAGAATGACAGACAGGACAAGATGGTAACAGAACTGAGAAGGTGTGAAGATGTGGCAGAGGCCCCGTGAAAGTTGCAGTGGGGAGAAAGGTCATTACAAAGTGTTCCCTGGGCCTTTGTCTGACGCAGGTTGACACCAGCAACGAGTGGGGCAACCCAGGAACCCGAGGTTGCCGGGAATTTCTGTCAAAGGGCAGGGGTTGGGAGGCACGTGATAAATTCATGAGATTCCTTTTTGCTCTAAGAATTTATTAAGGGAGCTGCACTTAGCTTTGAATTCAAGAAGTCAATAAACAAACCACAAGAGAAAAATGAATGTCCTTTTTCAGACTTGCACACCTACCCCCGTGGAGCGTGAGCCCTACAAGGGAGAAGTTGTTCTACTGAAATAGAAACAGAAGATTCTACATCGGGGCCAGGAAACGGACCTACCCCTGGCCTGGATGCTGCTGGTCAAGAAACTATGAAATTAGCATTTCTGTCTTCAGAACCATCTGAAGAGTTCATGATCAAGGTCAAAGGCTTCAAAGTGACTTAAGGATGGTCGAGCCAAGGAAAGACTGATCAAAGAGCTCTTGTTGCGGAAGACATAGATGAGCCTCCAGATTGAAGGAGGCTTGGGCCGGCTAGAGATTTATTCTCTGAGATGTTAGGAAACCGTCAACAGAGCCATGGAGAATTCAATATGAGCAGACCTGTTACTGGGGAAAGTTGGCCCTGCTTAACACAGGGAGTTCAATTTCATGGTCAATGTTTATAAACTGTTATAAGACTTTATCTGGAAAAGTGAATCTTCATATTGTAAAGGCAAATACATTCTAGAACTTAAAGTGAATGAAAAATGAATCGTGTGGCTTTGGGGGGGGTAATAATTTTTCAGGAAAATTATTTGATAGTATTTTACGGACTTTATTTCACACTTGATTTTTGGAATAATGTTATAGATATGGTCATTTTTGAAAAAAGATTTTAGTGCTTATCAATGTTTCTCTTAGTACTTTGAGCTCCCTGCAAATTTTCTCTTTCTCTCCTTTATCTTTTTAGTAGTTTTTCTGGTCCTGCTATTTCCAGATCGATATCTATTTGGCAGTGGCTTTTAAGCATCTCTCTAACATCACCTCCACTGACTTCATGAACTCTACATGTTTTCTCAGTTTTGCAATTTTGCTAGACTCAAAATTTTTTAAACTTGTGATACATTTTCAGATGTTTCAGAACAGTGCAGTCTGCAAGACTCTTACATAAAAGGTTGACATGATGGATAGATGTTGGCGTTAATGAGGGACACTGTCAGAGGAGTCGTGTTATGCACGCCCGGTTAGGCTGCCCATTTTCACATGATGATAGCCTGTGTTTTCCTCTGTAAACCCTGTGACTTGAACTGCAAGGCTCTGGGCTGTGCTCCCTTTCGTGACTGAGGGCTGTGAGTCTTTATCAACGCTAGGCAGCCAAAGATTTCAGCTTTGTCATTTCCTAACTATTGAAATTATTCTTGCAATCCAGGGAGTCTGTGTTAACAATTCAGAGGGAGATTAGCAAGAGGGGGGAATGTTATTGGATGCTAGCACATGCTTTTCACAGCATGGGCAGGAGCAGGATTCGTGTTTATTTTGATTATAGCATTTCTTGAGGCTTAGGCTGGAGCTGCGCATCTGTTTGTGAGAGGGAATATTGCACTGAGTTCCTTTTATGTGGTTCAAAAGCAAAGTCAGAGAAAAAGATGCTGCTGTTCTCATCACAGTTAACGGTTGCCAGCCATGGAGAAGCCAGCCTCATTTCAACCCCCCGAGATCCTATTGAAAGAATAATGGCTCTGGGCCTCTTTGGTTTCCTTTCAGAAGCAGTCCCTGGCATTCTCACTGTGGCTTTGCTGCTGTGTAAGGTTGAAGATATAAATGAGTATTATTGGGATGGAAAGTCTCTGTGAAAATTCATTGATATTTCAAAATTTCACCTTTGCTTATACCAGATTTCTTACTGTGAATTTTTAAAAATCACCTTTTTTAAGGGAAACATTTGTTTAAAAATAGCAAACTGTGACTTTAGATTCTATTGTAATTAATACACATTTAGATCTTCATTGTGATGAATAAACATTTAGATCTCCAGTTACACCCTGTTGTCTGAGTTATGTGCGTCCTTTCCTAACTAGTAGAATCGGGACTCTGGAAGGGTGGTTTTGATTCAAAAACATAATTTCCTGGGTGACATTTGCTTCAGCAACTCCTGGAAATCAGGTCCCTCAGCAAACACCATGTAATCAAATTGGATGCTCAACCTTAGGATGACTCCAAGGTAAGTTATCCAGTCACACTGACAAATGCAGGATCTGAGAGAATTCAGCTGGATCAGAAGGGCTGGAAGATGGGCTCTGTCCCCCGTGCGGCCCGGTTCGTGCTGGGATCCTTCAGTGAGTACAGAGAAGCTGGGCCCATGTTTCTTCTCTAGGTGAACAGGTCAAGAGGGATTTTTAAAAGTGTGGACCAGGTAAAACTCAGGGCAATCGCCGTCTCACTGCAGGCCATCCGCCCCTGACTCACTCACTTAGATCAGGGTGCAGTCGAACATTTGAGCAAGGGAAGCAGGAATAGGGGAGTAGGAACCCATTCGCCCAGCTGTGATATTACTGAACACACAGGAGGAAGGACAGTGAACTTCCCCTGAGGAAGAGCCGCGGGTCTTCTTTCCTCAGGTCAGAGATACCTTAAAATATTTTATTACTTTTCTCCTCTGCTTTGGTTGACAATAGAAACGCCACAATAAGATGACTGAATCCTCGGGGTGGGGAGGGAACAACTAACTTGCTTTCTTCTTTAGAAGCCAACTCTCTCAGCCTGTATGTTCAGTTGAAATATCACCCCCTCTCGGAGGCTTTCCCAGATCCAATGGGGGACGGGTTAGGTCCCACTTTTCCGTTCTTGGGGAGCAGGGCCCAGCACAGCGCCGTCATCTCACTGCATGAGGATCCCCTGCCCAACTCATCTGCCTCCTCCAGGCCGCTGAAAGCCCACACGGGCAGGGCCTGTCTGGGTCACTGCAGCTGAGGGCCTGGCAGTTGATTGGCTTTCAAGGGACATTTCATTTTTACATAAAGGCGGAGGTGAAGGGGTTCCTACTACGTTCCGAAATTGGTGTAGATGAAGGTAGTGAGCGTTCTCAGCAGCAGCAGAAACAAATCTTGTGCAGCGTTTTGTGTAAGGAAGAATTTTGTTTACGTGAAGAATGCAGATTCATTGCCACTTTGATGGGTCTAGCTGGGAGAATGGGGCAGCTGTAGGATTCTGTGTCAACAAAGTCATTCGAAATGATGACAGGGGTCCCTTTATTGCTTTTACTTATTGTCACAAATATTTTGCAGAAGCGTGAATTATTGGAGAGTGAGATGTCGACAATAAGCGGAATTAAAATGTGAGCAACTAGTTCTTCCAAAGTCATAAGTGTTTTAAAATTTTATTTTCACAAAAAACAAACTTAAACTGTGGGCTTCATGCCTCCAACTTGTGTTAGGAGAGAGGGAGGGTCTCTGTGTTAAACCTCAGTAGGAAGGCGCTTTCATTCAAGAGGGAAAACGTGGAACAGGCACGGGGAAGGCATCAAGGCCGCACTCAACAGCGACAGGAAGGGCGGACGGACGGAACACCAGCCTCGGCGTGTGGTCCAAACTCTGCTCCGCAGCTTGAGCTGGGAAACAGGAGAGAATGCCTTCAGTCCTCTCAGTGCAGGAAGCTTTGGTGTCTTTGGTGATGTGTGCCAGGCATCGAGCTAGGTGCCAGGAATATGACAATAGGCACAGCTGGGGAAGACAGTTTGGCAGGTCTTCAATGCATTAATAGAGTTATCATATGACCTACCAGCTCTATTCCTAGGTGTCTATCCCAAATAATTGACAATCGGTGTCCAAACAAAAACTTGTACACAAATGTTTATAATAGCATTATTCAAAATAGCAAAAATGTGGAAGCAAACCAAATGTTAAGTAAAGGAAGCCAGACACAAAACTCACGTATTGTATGATTCCATTTATAGGAAATATCCAGAATAAATAAATACATAGAGACAAAAAGCAGATTAGTGGTTGCCAGGAGCTAGGGCAAGGGAGGAATGGAGGGTGACTGCTCAATGGGTATGGGGTGTCTTTGGGGGGGTGATAAAAGTGTTCAGAAATTAGAAAGTGGTGACAGTTGCACAACATTGTGAGTTTATGAAAAGCCACTTTAAAATGGTTAAACCGGTAAATTTTATATTGTATGTGCATTTCACCACAATAAAAAACTTTTAAAAGGGGGGAGGGGGATAGGCACACAACCATTTCAAATAAGTTGGTGAATGTAAGTGAGGGATTTGGGAGTTTAGGCGGTTGGAAATTTTGAAGGGAAGGTGGAGAGAGGGGAGTTGAAAAGCAAATGTCTCCTAACGACAGGAACACACTTTAAGAAGCCCAGCTGCAGCTCCCCTCAGCCCTCTTCTCAGAGTTTAAAAACCAAGGCCTTGCAGATGATCAGAGACGGACTGTGAACTGGCCAGAGATTATGACTCAGCACCAGCCACTCTGAAAAACGCCAGCTGGGTATGGGAACAGTTTTCTTATTCTGAGTGGTTATAACAGCATTTTCTGCACCCGCAGCCCCCCCTGTGCTCCATCCTGACTGCCTCTGGAGTCACCTACTTGTACCCTCGGCCCACTCCTCACACTAAGACCCTGTGGGCTGGGGGCCTCGGGGAAGTGACTTTGCTCACGGTCATGGGACACGACCACAGAGTCAGATGGGCGTTGAACAGGCTTCTGAGGTCGTGTCCAAAGGCCTGTCCTCTCTTCCGTCCGCTGCCCCTTTCTAGCTGTGTGACCTTGGGCAAGTCACTCAACCTCTCTTAGCTTCAGTTTCCTCAACTGGAAGTGCTAACATTCACCCAGTCTGGTCACAGGGTTATTGTGAGGCTCACAGGAGGTAAAGTGGGTGACATTGGCTTGAAGCCTGTCGGGTGCCAGGCGCATTTTCAGAGCGGGCCAAAGGCGCAGGGCTTAGCCTCCAGCCAGCAGACCGTGCCCAGGGGCTTCACCACTCCCAGCCCCGGGTTCCCCCTCGTACGCGGGACGCGGGGACAGCAGCCCCGTCGCCAGCAGTTCGTCGTGAGGTCCTGCTGAGGCCGCGCGCAGGGAGCAGCCTGCGCAGCGCTGGCCGGGGCGCGCAGAAGGCGAGTGACAAGTGTTGCAACCAGCGCCACCTCCCTGAGTCACCGCGGGCCGGGAGAGGGGCTGCGGGAAGCGACGCCAGTCAGCGCAGCCTCCCACACACCCCGTGACCGTCCCGGCCCCGTCCTGTTGAGCAAGGTTCCAGCTGCGCCCGTCCCAGGCTCGGCCGGTGCCTGCGGCCCCTGCAGAGCTGCACGCGCGGGCCGCGGAGTGGGCCCGGGAGGTGGGCGGGGCATCCCTACCGCA